CCAATCATCCGACAATCACTGCTTTCTGCGCACACAAAGAACATATTAATCACTACTTGTTCCTAAAAGGCCAGCGTTTCAGCTTAAAAAATGGCGGAGATACGAATTTTTGAAAAAACCGCTGAATTTTCCGCTTTTCCAGATTTTTCTCCGTTTCTCATTATCCGATCGAAACGTTCAAGGTCTCATTCTGTAGGTATTTTCATCACCTACATTTCATCTCTTTCGAGCATTGATATTGCTGCATTAGTTTAAAAGTTTAAAGCAAAAAACGACAAAAATCACAATTTTTTTGCATTAAATTGTTAATAATAAGAAAAGCGAACAGAGTTGGGAGTGAAAAACATATACGTATTAATCTACGCATCCTTTTTTTATGTAACTGCACAATCGATTTGCTGTTCGTATTTTTGTCACATAAAAATGCTCTACTGATTGGCCTATCTCTGAATCGTAGGTATACAACAAAAAGCGCTATTCGCGCCTGTGTAATGGCGTTGGACCATTAGATATCTATAGATATCTATTGATATCTATTGCGTGGACGCGCTCGCGTGTTAACAGTAGCGTTGTCAGGTATCCAGCAAACGATGATAAAGTATTCAGCGGTGGTTCGTAGCGTTATTTTATTATGCGATATGTTTTCCTCGAATAGTAAACATAAAAATAAAAGTAACGCGTAGTAAATCGATTCGCGACGTTCGTTTGATCGAGGAGCGACTTTTTTAATCGTCGACAATTTTTCTTAACGAAGGAATTCTGTGGTTAGATACAATCGATAGCGGTGAAATAATTTCTTACGAAGGTCGTACGGCCTTGATTATTATTAGAAATCACTTTTGGGATGTGGTATCTATGTATGTGTGTGCTATTTATGTGGTAGGCATGGGCTACTCATGTGATGTCCACGAGTGACAGTTTGATCTGTTAATTTTGGACTTATAAAAAGTCTTCTAACGTTCTTTACAAACATGGTTCTAACTTGAGAACAAGGCCCATTAAATAATTTGTGTCCCCAATTCAACCGCTGGCTTCCACGTATTACGATACATCCTGTATAGTGAAGTTTATTGCTTTGTCCGACCTCCCCTATCTTAACGCAACGTAGACTGCCTTGAGCAGCTCGGACTGATACACTTAAATCGTACTGGCCTCGTTATCGGCGCTCGTTCCCATTTTTTTTTACTATCTTTCTCTAAGTTGTGCGTGACGGGCGAGGCGATGCCAGTTATCGAGGCTTATCCACCCCTTTGTTTTCGGCGACCTCTTTTCGGCAGTCTCAGAGGACGCGTTTCGTTGGTTTAGTTGCTTTTATTAAGTCTCATACATCGTGTTCCATGACCTAGCAATCAGGGTATATAACATTTAAAAAAATAACAACGCCAGAGATTACACTTACGAAATTATCAAAAATAATATCTCTGTTCTACGATGCGTGGTCCCAATTTCTTGTATACAGGGTGTCCCAAAAATATTGTAACACATTGAAAGAGGTGGATCGGGAGGTGATTTGGAACAACTTTTTCCTTAGCGAAAATGTTGTCCGAGGTTTTGGTAAGGAGATATTAAGCGAAAACCCCGACGAATCAGAACGCGAGTATGCCGGTTGAGCGTAAGCTACGCGATAGGCGGCCGCGCTGATACGCTACCGCGAGCGCTCCATCGGCATCCTCGCGCTCTGATTGGTCAGTGTTTTCCGTTAATATCTCCTCAACGAAGCCTCGGACAACATTTTCCCTAAGGCAAAAGTTGTTTCAAATCACCTCCCGAACCACCTCTTTCAATGTGTTACAATATTTTTGGGACACCCTGTATTTATATCATTCTTCTGAGGGTGACTAGGAGCCACCGGTTTTGTGGTCGTACTAGGTACGTCACTGACGCTAGAAACAGTGCGCATGCGCGATTAGTAACCACTCCCTGGGCCTAGCTAGTTCGCGTACCCTTCGTTCGCCGAGGCGCGCGCGATTTTAAACGTCGAATATGGCGGACCGTGCCGTACGAAATGGCGGGAATTTTGAAATGGCCACCACTCTTTTCAGAAGCACCAGCGTTCGCGCGAAGCGAGCGGTCGCGATAACGAGTGCTCGCGTCGATAGAGACCGGAAACGATGTGAAGGAAAGGAAACGATGAAGTGCAGCCACGGAAATCATTGACTGTGGCGTCGAGGTTTACGAACGTCGTGCGATACTCCGGTATCAACGGCGACGTTTACGGGAGGGAAGCGGCGGTTTCCCCGACCGCGGAAATGAACGTTAGGCGACTGTGCACCGTGCCGGGGGGTTGAACACGTGACGTACGGGTGGTTTCCAGTGCAGCGGCGGCGCCGTTCGCGAATATAGGCGGTTCGGTGTTGCTTGAAATGGACTCGGTGGCGGTGACGGTGCCGCTTCGTCAGCCGACGAAGAAAATGAAGAAACGGAAGGAGCTCGACGCCCTCGCGCCCCCGCACACCGTATCCCGACGGAGTTCTGGAAAACGTAGCTCCCAAGTACGTATCCGTATCGATTGACCCCGAGGGACGCGCACGTCGCTCTAGTCTAGCGTTTTCCAATGCAGGGGGCGCCAGAGGGAGGCGCGAAAAAATCGATCGTTTTTATCAATCGTAACAGTTGGGGGGGGACATTTGATAAAATTTGAAGTGTCTTGTAGTTTAATCTTTTTCTAGTACTTTGAAATCTAAGGTTTTATTATGGTTGCAACGTGTGAAACGTACACGCGTGGTCAGGGCCGGTGACCCCGGCACCCTCACCCCCCCCCCCCCCCCCCCCCCCCCGGGGGCCGGGGGCTTAATACGAATATTTTTTGGGAACACCGAAAGAAAGAAAATAGGTGACAATATTTATATAAGCATATTATTTGACAATAATTACTGTCAGTGTTGCTATTTATTCTAATAAAATTGTACAGGTTTGTTTATCTTATCGCTTTCTTATCGAAACATAAACAGTGGGGACAATTTCGCTACTTGGATACACCGTAAGAATTGTCAGTTGAGATCGGAAATCGCTGCACTGTGCGCCTTAAAGTAAACCGAAGAGTTGCATTTAAATGAGGAAGGAATGTTAATTAATAAAAATTGTGATAGTTACCGTGTGGAGCAAAAAGTGGTGTTGTTAGCAAAAAAGCAATCGATATTCAGTTTTTTTATAAGCTCAAATCCAAACTACTAGTTTACGTGTACGCGCCTGAAATTGAAACGTTCAACGAACGCCATCTGTTGAACGGAACGGGAACACTCTTGCAAATTTAATTGTTTCTTATCCTCGCACCCTAATTATTTTTATATTTCAATTCTTCCACGATTCCCGTTCTCGGATTTTATTCGAATAATCGAATAAATAGAAATTAGAATAATCGTTAGAATAATCTTCCTCGTGAAATCCTTTTATCGAGGAAAAGCGTTTTAAGAACTGGTTCACATGTTGCAACCGATAGAATCTCGTAAAATTGCAGGAATGCAAAGGGAGAAATTGGTAAAGCGAAACTTCGATTCTAGTCACGTTTTCGTTCTTTTTTTTTCTTTTAAATTAAATTAACACGACGTTACCTTTTGTGGGTCGAACGAGAAGGTATTTACTTTACCTACATTTCTAGGAGTTACTATCAGATAGCAGCGACGAACGATCGGAATACTGGAATGTATCGACTAGAAATGGCCGAAAATGCAGAGGCAGACGAGGTCGAGCTTGTCCCGGAATTTTTAAAGCTTGTAGTGCCTTTCTGGCTTGTGCCTCCGTATTAGCAACCGCTAGTTTAATTTGGCTGTTCATCGATGTTCGTCAGCAACTCACTGCTCTTCGGAACGAGCTGGACCAAGGTATTGATATCGCGCGATGCGTCCTAAGAAAAATTAGACACGCTTCTCGATTAAATAAATTTCGATCGAATGAAACGCTTGGGAATGGCGTCGTCGACTGATTAACTTTCGTCGAGCGACCATTGGAATTACGGGTTAATTACTTCTCGCGATAAAAATGAAGAAAGAAGTTGATTTAATCATCTCGTTATGAGTTCCAGAATAGGCTCTGTGTCTCTTTAGCCGGTTACGCTACTTTATAGCACGTAAATACTCGTAAGATCGCTCCGATAGCACGATGCCAGGTAATCTGCGATACATGTTGACAGTTATTAGAAAACGTATGCTGAGTAGAATAATAACACGTGTCACTCGATCGCTATCGAATGAGCCTCTGTGGAGATTCACAGCTGTACACAGCTGTACAGGGTGTCTCAAAAATGTTGTAACACCTTGAAAGGGGTGGTTCGGGAGGTGATTTGAAACAACTTTTTCCTTAGCGAAAATGTTGTCAGAGGTTTCGTTGAAGAGATATTAACGGAAAGCACTGACCAATCAGAGCGCGAGGATGCCGATGGAGGATCGCGTAGCCTACGCTCACCGGCATACTCGCGCTCTGATTGGTCGAGGTTTACGCTTAATATCTCCGTAACGAAACCTCCGACATTTTCGCTAAGGAAAAATTTGTTTCAAATCACGTCCCGAACCACCTCTTTCAAGGTGTTACAACATTTTTGGGACACCCTGTATAAGAACGCTGGTGTAGTATAGTAGCATGGCATCCATTGGCAACTATAATAATATACCGTTAGAATTACAATGTAGTCGCGTATGCAATTATACAACTATAATATACCTATGCGCACAGTCGTGCAACCATAGTATAGTTGCTTTTTATAGTAGTACAGCTGTAGAAGTATAACAAACTATAAAAATGTGAATTCGAGAGGCTCATTCGGAAGCGACAACGTTAAAGAAAAATGTAATTGAAGAAAGCATACAATTCTAGTGTCTATTTTTTATTAATTCAGTTGAAAATTCCTCGTCACGCAATAAATGAATGTTTTCGTACGTTGCAGTAATCGCCGGTAGCGAAGGTGTTCCAGATGCCCTGCAGAAGTGCCACTCCCTATCGAGAGATCTTCAGAACAACCAAACAATTATTTTCTCTCATCTGACCGATTTTAAGCTTCAAATCAATAATTTTACGTCGCAGGTAAACTTCTATGGATAACTGCATATCATTTACCTCAGATTTTACAATTAGAAAATATACAATTCAACGTGTAAGATTCATTTGCTTTATTCCTGTTACGCAAAATGTTCAAAATATTTTGAATATTCAAATTAATATTAACTTGAGCTGCTATACATTCAAATGTATCGCAATACACAACATAATAACAGATTCGGTGTCGACAGGAAGACATTTATGACATACCTTTATCTATGTGTTTGTACACATCCGTGTTTACAACTGCTGATCAGTCTGAAGACGTTCTTGCTCTCTAATTCTAATGTTTCCTAAGATTTCCAATCTTACACGTTGAATTTTATTTATTCCATTCGGACTCACCCTGTATAAAAATTCGCGATTCATCTCTAGAAACCAGGATGCATCCTACAAGAGTTTTCTAAATGAAGACGATCCATTTTTAGAACGCTCGTTTCATTTTCAGCTAGCCGTTATCCAGCGCGATCGGCAGAGCGTAGAGGAGTGGTTCAAAGCTGCTCCAGAACTGGCCAACGTACCGACGGACTTGAAAGCACTCTCGAGTAGCGTGGTATCGTTTGGCAGCCAAATACAAGACTTGAGTGCCACCGTGAAGACCTTGAAGGAGTTCAACGTAAGGGTGCAGGATGCCCAGACCACTATGCAGCAAAATATCAGCAGTATCAAGGTTAACGAACGAAACACTTCGTATATTATTCGAATAAAATGTTGTCCAACTGTGATCCACCTTTTCATGTTCATGTATCGCAGAACGCCGTGTCGGAGTTGTCCAACATCACGCAGAAGCCGCAGACCGTTGCTGCCAACGAGACAAAAATAAAGACTGACGAGCTAGAGGCGGCGATAATACGCTTAACGACTAAATTGACGCGCATCAATGAAACTCTCACCAGAGAGTTGCGATGGTTCTCCGACGATTGGAGCAAAGACCATGTAAATATCGGACCAACGTGTAACGTTAGAAGTGAAATTGAAAAATGGCTAACCATATGTATATTTTGCAGAAAACATTGGTCTTGCTTCAGGAAACGTCGCAGCACGTTAGCATGAAAGTGATATCTTTGGAGAACGAGTACGTAAACACTACCGCGTCTGTTGAAAAGTTGAATAACCAAGTACGTGTGCATGCTAAGCGATGCGTGAAATTTTTATGCAATATAGCATCGCGTCTGACTGACTGCAAATGTTCCAGGTGAGCGAGATTTACGCGGTGAACGCGCAACTAAACGACAGGATGAAGCAGCTGGAACAATCGTATGACACTTTGAAGAATTCAACGAGTGCGATGCTCGCTGCGATACCAGGTGTTCAGAGTCAGAAACTGAAAAGACCTAAGAGCCTGGAAGGATCGATCGTTGGGGACGTTCCGATCGAACAGGATCACAGTGCGGTAGGTAAGTTGATCCGTTGAATTCAGCTTCGCTAATTTCAAAGGTATTATTTCTTTATTATTTTGTAAGAACATCTCCAGCTTATCGGGTATTTAGGTTGGATTTGAATTGAATCGATATTATGTATCTTAATCGCTTTAAAAATCACTTTTCCTGTTTTACAGTCTCGGATGACGATCTATCCATAAAGAACTCGACGAGTAAATCAAAACGATCCAGGGTAACCCCGTAATATATTTTAGACGATATATTGCGGAGATACTTGGGCGAAGAATCGTTTTGCACGATGTAGCAACCGTGTCTCCAAATACGAAGATGTGTGTATTTGTAAATATTATCGAATTAAGTATGTTGAAATTCCATGTATATAGAAAGAAAAATATCGAATGCCTCGGGCTATGTAATTCCGGTGCACAGAATAATCGGCGAGGATTTAATGCTCGATTATTATACCGAAATGTGTTTTACGATCAAACGTGAACTAAGGGAGAGCTATTTGTAACTAGCAATAACGTATACGTTAATCTAGTATTGTGAAAATCGAATACCGTGTATTTGAAGCATATTTTCGAATACGACGGAATTGCCAATCTCTAGAGGATGCTGTATGTAACTAGCTGAGTATTTGAGATATACCATCGAAAAGTACAAAGAGCGTTTACACTTGTTCTTGCGTTATGAAACAAAATTTAGAAACATTTAACACCTCTCCCAACCCCTAAATGTCCATGTATAATTGCAATAAATTTTTCTACTCTTCTACCGTTTGTAGCGCAGTATAGGCCACGAATTTGCCAAACGTTTTGGTAACGCTAAAGAATAACCCAAACTTCTGCAGAATTCAAAACTTTAGACCCCTCTTTTCTCCTACGTTTATAGAGAACTGATCGATTTAGTACTATGTATTGTATTATAAAAAAAAGTGAGGTTATGGCAAGTACATTAGCCATATCGTACCAAACGGATTATTCGAGGATCGAATGGTCCGCGAATGAAATAGGGAGCAAGAAATTTTGTGAATTCTTTTTGTCGAAATTAAATAAAATATAAAACAAGGGTGATGTATGATGTGGCTCGATTGATTTTATGCTCTCGTTACTAGGCACGTAATGTTTTAGTCTTCATAGAGAATCTGTTTATCTTATATACGAAGATGACTTATTTTAATCTACAAATGAATACACTTTAGAAAGTATACTGAATTGTTAGAATTGAATGTATGAAAAGGTTTTCTTCAATTTTTAATATTCTACATGTTTTCTATACTATCTTTATTTGTAGAATAAAGTGGGACGTAATTGAAGTCAAACTTACTATATTCCACGAATGGTCAATAATTAGCTTCATATCTTTTAGATGCGCTTCGATATCATTTGCATTACGTAAGAGTGAAATGCACGTTGATTTGTCTCTTATACTTGAATACGTTACGTAATGTTTTTGCGCATAGCCATCGTGTGGATCGTAACGATCGCAGATATATTTAAACGACTATACGTCCATTTTGGCGAGAAACGAGGTATTGTATTTACATAGACAAAAAAAAAAGAGCGAACAGGTCAGTTATTAACCATAAATTACATGGGAAGGAATACATTAAAATTTATGAATTTTTAATGAAGAATACGAAGTGCAAATAAATGAGATGATACCGACGGGCGTGTGAATAAAGAATTGATTATTCAAATTTTAATCATTTAATTACATACTTCCTGTTATTGATATAAATCATGTTATAGTCACAGAATTACAGTTGAAAAGGGCCTAGCCCATTAAGATGGTCAAAACTGCCCTTAGAGCTTTGTCAATGGTTCTTGAATCGTTCGAAAGCTGACTAAGAAAAACCCTTCTGAGCAAAACTTTAACCCTCTAGCTTGCCCGTGAGGGTAGTTACAGGGTAAAATAGATTTTACGCTTTCCGGCGCATTTTCCGATCTCAAATGCGTTCTAAAATTCTGAACAAAAATCTGACACATTCCGGATCCTAAGGCGCATTTTTGAGAATTTTTTCAGATTTTTTTGTTGCAAACTGTGGTCGTAAAAAATGAAAAACCTCAAAAAAAAATCGGAAAAACATTTTTTCCTCAAAAATATGAAGACATGCTATTCTACGTAAAATATGTATTATGAAATAGAAAAACAATATTGTTCCTTAAAAAAGAAATTAAAATAATAAAAGTAGTGATTCATGTGATAATAAAAAGGAGAACTCTCCTTATTAACAACTCTTCTCAGTGCTGAATTTCAGCAGGAATGATACAAAGTGATCAAAAAATGGTGTTGAGAAATTTGCAAGCATAAATACTATTTATGCAATGTATTAAAAAATGTACTAAACTTGACACAGCTCATTTTCAATATCTTCTGAAATAATATAGATACATATTTATACCGAGTCACATGGAATTTTATTACAGTTCCATTTTTCCAAAATAAACGCCATTTTCGTTACTTAAGGTCATACGAAGGTCACCTAAGTACGTGTACTTGAATTTGTTTTTTTTACGAGCTACATCATTGCGCTAAGAACTAGTATATTATCTAAAGTAAAAAAAATATAATGAAGTAAAAATAGTGTCATTCGTGTTTGAATCTCGCGTTCTACTTTCGATATTGTATCGCAGCTACATTCACGGTGATAGTTAGGAAACGCATGCGCAATCCGAGCTGAGACCCGAGAACAAAGTTTCTTGTCTGCGAGGATACTCCCACTCCGTGGCCTATTGCGTGGTTTGCGTTTGACATCTGCGCAATTCTCACGCTCGCACGGACGAAAAATCAAAACAATCAATATGGCGGACCCGAGCAACGAAGCTGCATCGTCGAGTAGCGTCGCGGAGCAAGCCCCTTCGGCTACTCCCATTCGCGACGACCTCGAGAAGCTAGAGGACTTCCTCGAGCCCGATAAAAAGCGTCGAAAGGTGTCAAGGACCGATGGGAAAACCGAGCAAAAGCTGGAGCACCGCCTGGGCGGCATCCTCTGCTGCGCAGTTTGCCTCGATTTACCGAAGGCGGCTGTCTATCAGGTAAGTTCGCCAATATTCTTGGCTACATTTTTTCTTGCAAATTATCCAGCGCGTGCCAGTACGAAAATAATGCAAATTTACGAATGCGCCACGAGTATTATCCGTATTTTTCAACATCGACGTTGTGTGATGTCGTCGTTCCTTTCCATCCGACATTTTCACCCGAGGTCGTTGGGTGACTTTCCCGTTGTTCATTGCGGGCACGTATATATATGTATATATATATATATGTATATTAGATATATATGTATATTAGATATATGTATATATGGAGACGTTATTAGATAAACTTTGTTTTGACTGACCAGTGTTCACCCGTGATAATTTATTGACGTTTTGTCCGAAGTCGTTGTCTTTTGTCGTCTTTCGGTTCTTATCCTCTGACAGTGGTAAATTTTTTCCCGTGTCACTTAAGGTATAGCAAGAATACTTAATGTTGTCAGAGTTCCTCCAGTGTGACTTCTTTTATTACTTAAGCTTTTACATCACCTGATTTCTATAAACAAAATGGTTAAAAACGAGAATATCCTTTGACAGATACACCAACCTCACATCCTTTTATATCGTTACTAAATACGATTTATTACGATAGTTTCTAGTTTCATTTTTTACTGTCGTTAATACTAATTTATTTCTGTATTCAATTCTTTCTCTCTCACTCTGCCCATTTTTCTTACCTTCCTCTTCTATTGACTATTACACCGTATTTTTAAATAGTTTGCCCTCTCGATAAGACTTATTTATAGTTTTGTTTAAATTATAATCGTATAAGTATTTAAGATGAATTTAAGCTATTTTTATCATTATCAATATCTCGTTTCCTCTAAGATATATAATAAAATAATTACAGGTAGGTAATTATATGATTCTCTTAGTGAAAATGGTGTTAAATGTTTTGAATAGGGGATCTACACGCAGCCTTTAACTTGTTTTACACGAATGCCAACATTAATGGATATCTGTTGTTGAATGTATTTATAAAATTCAGAAAATCTAATAAGAACATATTACTATAAATACTTTACAAAATAATCCTTTGAAACATTTAAGGTTGTAGAAATACATTGATCAATTGCTTTTTTTCATAAAGTTTGTACTGTAAAAAATGAGTTACAATTACGATATATATCTATTTATGCATGCATGTAAAGTAATTCTCACTATGATGTAAGTTTATGCGAATTTTTACATTTTATGCGAGAAACAAATTACAGACAATAAAACAAAGAGAATTATTGTATGTATGCATGCCCAGGCAATAACCCCAATTTTTTAGTAATATTTATTTACAGAAGAACTCCTATTATTAAATTTGTAGCATTCCAGTCCACCTTGAACTGTTATATTTTGTTCTCGGTCGTTCTCTTTTGAATTTCAATTAACAGAAACATATGTAACGCATTCTATATTCAGTGTCTTCATTAACTGTAAAACACTGGGAAGAATGTTGCGTTTATCCTGTTTGCTGTAGAGACACGTACATGTAAGTTATTCAGTGCGCCATCTCGTGCACAATGTACCGGTTTTATTTAGTATGGTGCACACCGGTTGTATTGGTGAACTCGTAGATGCTATTAAAAATATTTCATTTTTATAAGTACACGCGAGTAGTTTGAACTTCAAATTCACTCTTACTGGTATCCCGATACAGTGGAACGTCGATTATCCAAATGTTGATTATTGGAACATAAGAGGAGATAAATGTGTATAGCACCACAAATTCTAAGCAAAGGTGGGCAAACTTCTAATTTAGATCAAAACACTAAATATCAAATAAAAGATTGTCGTATATGTAACACTTATTATTATGGTGGCAATTTGAACATCCTCAATAAAAGTAAATATTCGATTGAATAAACACCGCAAATTTAATTTAATTCTATTAATCTAATACAATTTTCCCCACCTCTGACTCAGACACTGTTTAAATCTTAAAACCTGTACCTGTTATAGTTACATAATTTTATTGACTTTTATGGTATATCATGCTTACTATCTTGCAAGTGTTATGCAAGGTTTCCACATGCAAAGATCATCAACACCAAAATAACATTAACGATGCAAATATAAGTGGCTCACAGTTTATGCTTCTACAGGTCTAAATAGTTTTTAAGTGGCACAATATTTAACATTTTAGCTTTTACAGGGTTTGCAACTAATTCAGAATCAGATGTGACATCAACAGTTTCTCTCAGTACTTTATTTCTTCTATCTCTACTATTTATCATATACCTACACTTGTTTAAAATATAAACATGACTTGCACCAGGAACTGCACCTCTTTATTTCGCTGTGGACCCAGTTGAATTGACATGTTTCCATATGCAAAGATACTGGTACCAAAGATTATTGCATGTTGAAATCCTGCATGTGGAAATCCTGCATTAGACATAAACACAGATTTAACATTACACGTTTCGTTTACTCTATATTGCATATTTAAGAAGAAACGAGTCTCTCATTTAGTCATGAGAATGAAATACATATAATATTAGGGGTTTCTATATATATATAAAAAAAAAAAGTAATATTAGTAAAAGATGATAAATAGGACCAGACTATTTAAATATTCATTTTAGAAACTTAGTTACGTCCATGGATTATCAATTTGCTTTTTACATTACGTTAACCACACATTCTTTCACGCGATCATTTTATTTTTCATTATTTTATTACATAGTTGCAAGTTCAATTTTCTTAGATAGATTACCAGAACGAGTTTTGCTCCCTATCGGTTCGGATAATTGACGTTCTACTGTACAGTCGATTAGGAAAGTAAAAAAGAAGTTACTTAAGCCACAAAAAATCTTTATAGTCTTTAGCACATAATATAACAATATTTTTTTAATCACAAGAATATTGTGCCTATTGTAAGAAGTAATCGAAAACTGAGGAAAACTATCCAAGATCTAGTTACTAGGAAAAAGTTATTGTAGACCCATGCGAAATTGATGTTTATCACTTATAATTAATAGCGAGAGAGTGCGAGTGAGAGAGAGAAAGCGCATTTCCAGAAGATCTGTATAACATGTATAGTTGAAAAGCATTAAACAAAATAAATATTCTTAAAGGTTATTAGTTAGTTATTTCGCATACGACACCCTTTTTCACTCGTCCCATGCATCATAATCCTTTTCTCTTCCTTTCTATTTATCGATATTGGCAGCGATAACGATGGTTGCTTCCGATGATAATTCATATATTTTTTTTTTAAACCTGCTGGTTTCGCAAATAATTACTTGACTTATTAATAGTACTACTACGATTTTGTGTTTCAGGTTTAAAAAACGTCAAAATCATGGTAATATACATGACATTAGTTTTGCTACTCTAGTTTGGTTAATATTGTTGCAAGGGTTGTATGTGTTTGTTTAAAAAAAAATAAAATAAAAAAAAATGTAAACGAGCACAGTGTGACGGTTTGTGCAAAATAAAGAATCGAGGAGTACGTCGCTTGCTTCGTTTAACGTTCCGTATTAACATTCCGAAATTGTATTTTGCACACAGCTGCGCACACTTGGCGAGAAATTGTTCTCGGGCCAACGAACTTTGTACAAGATTAGGATTACCATTTCAAAAAAAAGAGGTTGAAAATCGAGAATGTTAGTAATACATGGTGCAAAAATGTTCACAGTGTACAAATGGACACTTGATGTGTGCCGGTTGCTTCACTCATGTCCTCGCAGATGCCAGGCTGAGAGATGAAATGGCAACGTGTCCCAACTGCAGAATCGAGATCAGCAGAACATCGCCATCTCGAAATTTGGCAGTCGAAAAAGCGGTGTCCGAGTTGCCAGCGGAATGTCAGTACTGTGCGAAAGAGTTTCCACGGAATTCGTTGGAACGCCACGAAGAAACCATGTGCGACGAAAGGTAAAACGAACACCGCTACCGTAAAGAGGCATATTAATGACATTTATTTTGTGTATTCAGAATATCCAGCTGCAAGTACAGCAGAATCGGCTGCCCCTGGCGCGGACCCAACCACGAAGGTCCAGAACACGAAGCACATTGCGTACATCCTCATCGTACTGGTCTGGATGTAATGGAAGCCTTGCGCGACATAGACGAACGCTCTCTCGAAGAACGTAGACTGTATGACAATGTCTTTGATCTTTTGTCCTACGAGAAAATCACATTCAACGGTCTGTATCCGTTTCTCGTGTATGTCTAATCTCTCACCTAAGGGGATAGTCGAGCTTTGCATCTTCATAAAACCGGAACTGTTATATATATAAATAATTACTTGACTTATTCATATATATATATACTTTCGTTTAAAGTTCGCTGTTAAAATTTTGAAGCTCGACTAGGCCCTTGACTATTACGAGTGTACATCAACTTAACATAGAAAAAATATTTGATCTGTAGCTTATAAAAATGTATATTACACCTTTGTTTTCTGCCTTGTCTAGCAGCAGCAGGAACAATCCCCCTTTCATCACACTTAAATTAGTTTCGCTTGCTTAACGTTTCATATTATCGGTGACACTTAGAAAATCAAATCATTCGATTGCATTCTTCAGCCTTTTCATTTTATAATAGAGACCACGAGGGTGGTCGATACCGAAAGGGTGTAATCTATTTGTGGAATTTCGTCGTTTATAGATTTACAAATGAAGCCGTATCGTACGGACGAGTTCGTCCATAAACTATTTTACGAAACTTCTCGGTTTTCGGCGTTTAATAATCAATGGGTAGTAAAAGCGAGGATCAACAACAGTCAACGTGATCCTACTCAAAGCTCGGAAAGGGACATGACTTATCAAGTACGTAGAGATTGGATATTTCGTCGAGGTAGCCCGGCGAGATTTGTTTTGTCGAGGGAGCGATCAAAATCGTTATTTAATTTTGTAGCTGATTTTAAAAACAAAAACGACGTGTCCATTACCTCTTCATTATTTGATATTGAAAGGACCGTTCGGGGACATGAAAGTACAACCGAGGATTCATAGATTCGAATTCACCGACCAAGAGAACGAAAGTCCTTATTTACCGTTACCTTTACCTGATACGGCAGAGTGCAATAGACTTCTTGCTGCGAGAGCTATTAGTTTCAGGTAAGACCTCTCCGTACGTCTAATACGCTCACTGCCAGTTTGAAATTCTACCGCACCTACTTTAGGTAATATCAATTAATTGAATAAATTTATACGTGGCAATGAACGTATTAAACAAGAAATGTTATCGGTCTCTGACAAAACTGTGCAGCGTGTTCTAACTGTACGCACCTTTATTCTTTGTTTCAGACTAATCATGTTCCTGGCATCCAAGTAGTTTCACACAGCGATTACTGTCGTCAAAACTTTATGACAAACGAATTATTGACACAACTCTTTAGATTTAACAGCGATAAGAGCATAGATCACAGAGATTTATAATCACTTATAGTAGCGATAACCGTAACGATAATAAAAAATAAAGACGCTAATTCTGCTGTAGTCTATACACGTATACACTAATATACATCACGCTGAGCTACATGGCATCGTTGGCCAACGTTTCATCGAATTAACGATCGACGATCAATTCGTCTAACGTTAACCGCGATTAACGCCCAACTCTGCTACATAGTGTCGGCGTAGAAGTATAACAAATAACACGCAGACACTTGAAAAAGTAACGTTTGATTTTCTTCGAATTTCTTTCAGATATTTTGCTGACTCTGAGCTAAAATAAGCGAACGATGCTTTACGCATAACATTGCTGTTAGACAAGCGCGTTGAATTGTGTCCATAGACGCATCCTAGTTTGCACAAACAGATTACATTTTCGAATAGCCGTGCCGCCGATCGGGCACCGATTTAACTCGCTTGCCTTTCAACGAAAGCCTAGTACAGATTCTTCTATTTATATATAAATTACATGTCATCAATGTAAAATTCCGAATCGACACATTGTAATAGACGAAATTTAAAATAAATTTATTATAATTACGACCCGTTGTCATCTCAAGAATCTACGTTCTACTGTAGCTCGGACAAGTTAATGAAAGTGTTGTTGTTTGTTCTCGGGCCGTTGGCGTTGTTCGGTGGGAAAATCAGGGGGTTAAGGTTGTTTTCTGGGGAGCTGACGCTGTGCCTGCGGTATTTCGGGGTTAGAGGTCGTGGATCTGGTTCCGAGCAACCTCTCAACCAGTAAGAAGTGACTCGTCCTTTCCCTTTTAGCTCCACTTCGCCCCTGAGCTCGAGGTCGAACGTCCCAAACTTGTCCAGTATGCATTTCGTTGCTTTGGACACGTGTATGCAAAGCGCTGCGCCATATATATTAATTTAGCGAATATTAAAAATTAACTGTGTTGTTTAATGGAGTAGGAGTCGATCTTATTATCAGGGTTATCAAATTGGGTTGAGTACAGTATATTTATTTCTCAAAGAATCTTTCCTAATTTTCTTAGTCATGCAATTTTAAAAATCTGCTAACCCTGATCGAGTGGTACTTTACTGGTTTCATAGGGTCGAGGAGTAATTGATAAGTACTGATAAGAAGTTGATGGTGCCCGCTTACGTAGCCTAATACGTAAATCTATAATTCTCCAGCGAGTCTAACTTACGCAGTCCCGAAGATTCCATCCTGGACGCAGTATTTACAGTGTCGCCGAAGAGACAATAGTGGGGCATCTTCTGGCCCACGACGCCGGCGCAAACGGGCCCACTGTGTACTCCAATTCTCACGCTCAACTGAGCGTTCTGTTTATGCATTATCGTGAACGATTTCACGGCGTCCAAAATGGCTAACGCCATCAGGCCTATCTCCCTTGCGTGCTCGTCGCCGTTCCTCTCTGGTAGGCCGGATACTACCATGTACGCGTCTCCTATCGTCTCCACCTGCAGGATGAGTAAATTTACTGATTATTAAATACTATATATATATCTTTGATAACTCTTTGATATATAAATAAATATATATATATTTTATATATATATATATATAAAACACGCCAGAACAACTGTAACATACTTTAAGATTTTAATGAGTATAAACGGTACTAAAGAAGTACAAGACTTTAACGAAGTGCAGGATTTGATTTTACTAGGCAGTAGTTGGTTTTACTAGTAACTAAAATTATTTTTATTCTATCGTAGGACACAAAAAACCCATAAAGCTGCCATAGCATTACGAGCCCAACCTTGTAGACATCGTAGAATTCGATGATGCGATCGAAAGTGCTGTAGAGGTCATTAAGGAAGTCCACCACTTCCATCGGCGTACTCTGCGCGCAAAGAGCTGTGAATCCCACTATATCGCTGAAATAAATCGTCACGCATTCGAATTGTTCCGGTTGGACCAATTCTCCCGCCATCAGTTGGCACGCCACCTGGCTGCAATAGTCGACAGTCGATAGAAAAGGCCATCGGTACCGACAGAGCATAGCAAAACAGCCGATCCGTTGGCAACGAAACGCTTACCGTGGGAGTACTTGGTAAAGAAGCTCCTCGCTTCGTCGTTTTTCTAGACTCAGCTGCTCCGTTTTCTCTTCGACGAGAGCCTCCAAATTGTTCGCGTATTGCTCCATTCGCCTCAACAGATCGTCCATTAAATTCTCGCAGTAACCTCTGTCAAGATTTCAAAATTTCATTTATTACAGAATCTACACGGGCGTGGGCGTGTTCTACGTGGGCGTAGAAATTATTCTTACACCGATCAATTTCCAAAAAAACTATGTAAAATTGTAAATTATTAACTTATTTTTCATAGACAATGACATTCTACATATTCTTGGAAATCTCTAGAATAAATATAGTAAAAACAAAAAATAGCTATTTATGTAAGTTGCGAAATTCACATCGACAGAAATATTGAAGCAACAAGTATTTGCACAACTGTTTAATTTTTATAACTTGATTAAAGAAAAAAGAAATTTACATTAATTTATAAGCATGTAATACTTTCTTCTTGGGATTTTCTTTCGATTTTATAATTATTGTAACTTTTCTAAACATTAAATTAGCTAAATTATTAGTTATTTGAAGTAGAATCTTCTTCAATTCGATGTTGATGTATTCTAATTCGTACGGAGCAAGAAACTAATGTGTTTACGTTACAAGCTCTACTGTAAATGGTTCGTCATAAGAATCGTACAAATACTTGTTACTTCTATACTTTTACCCACTTTTCGCATTTTTTTTTGTTAATTTCACAAATTATATTAACTAGTAAATGTTGTCTGGTCTATATCTATTTTAGAGATTTCCGAGAATATGTAAAATATCATTGATGATAAAAAAAGAAGTTAAGAAACTACAATTTCGCACAAAAGTTTTTTGAGAAATTGATCGGTGTACGAATACATTCTACACCCTCTGTATATTTACTTGAAGAATGTATACGAGGAAATAATTCGATACTAATATTGTGTCCGTTATCCCTAGGTGCCCCCTTACTTCATGATGCCGCGTATGGTTCCACGTACGGCGTGAAAGGTTGGTCGCTCCTCTGGCATCTCGTTCCAACATTTCTCCATCAGCGAGAGGATATCCAGTGGGCAATCCTTTGGCGTCACTTCCGGTCTAAACGGCGGCGTTTCTGACGCGGTCACGCGACTCACGATCTTCGTTACACATAAAACAATCGATTGGAGTCATCGACACAGTAAACACAGCTTGATGGGTAAATGTTAGATTGCGAACATTATACCTCTTGGGAGGTCATTGACGCTTTAACCGTTTCGTAGGGTCCCCCGCGAACGACGATCTCCTCTAAAATGATGGCGAAGCTGTAAACGTCGCCCTTCTGGGTCGCTGTGCTCCCAGGCATCACCGTCAGAGGCAGTAGCTCTGGAGCGATCCAAAGCAATTCTGTGGAACGATCACAAAACGTTAAGTAAATACTTATCAAATCCATCTGTTCGATCTATTTTTACGCACTGGTGTAATAAATGTCGTCCATTATCAGATCAGAAGGCGTAGTGAGGGTCTTCAGGCCGAAGTCTGAAATTTTCAAGACGAACCGACAGTCGATCAAGCAGTTGCAGGATCTAAGCTTCCCGTGCGCTGAGACCTCGCTGGCGTGGAGATAGGACATCCCCTATGGATGTATGAAAACATTAAACCATTGCGCTCGAGGCATTTTTCTATAGAATCAAATCCAGTCCATTTTCCGCGGTCCGCGCGTTTCCAACAAGCACTCGGTTCCGCCTAACATTCATATATATAAACCCTTCCCGACCGGACGACAAATATCCCGACATCCACGAACATTCTCAATGTATTATTATTTCATAATTAATAATTAGCTGTATAGCGATATAAGTACGTTCAAAAAATCACTTCTAAATTACATATGTCGCCTCAGTGGCGCCACTCGAGCGTAAAGGGTTAAATATTGTTAACATTGACGAAGGAACGACTGCTTCTACCTTGACGATGTCGTGAATCAGAGACATTCGAAAGTTCCAATCCAGCTTGATGGCATCGTTCTCGAGAACGTCCTTCAGGGATCCTCGAGGACAATACTCCGTCAGAATCAACACTGTCGGCGAAGGAGAGCAGAGGCACGCTCCGATGAATCTGAGATAAGTTTCAGCGTTTTCAATCCCTCTTCCAACCTCTTCGAGATCGTTCTCATACCTAACTGTATTTTCAGAAGTGACGTCCCGAACTTGCTTGATCTCCCACAGCAGCTTCTTGGTGACGTCGACCACCTTCTTCTTCGTGATTTTCTTAATGGCCACCCTCTCGCCCTTGTAAATCCCGACAGTGGTGAAAACCGTGGTAGGTGGCAACGACTGGCAACTGAGCTGCGATCCGCGCCGAATGCGTTGCTCCAATCCAAAATTCTAGTTCAACAGAAACCAATTCAGGTTTGTACTCGAATCATCTACCACCCTAAACCTCTCTGGAACTTACGTTCACCTCTGATATCGCTTGGTGCAAGTTGATCTTCGAGGAGAACGGCTTCCCGATCTCGAGGAGCAGTTCCTCCGGCCTGATCCTCCAAGACATGTTGTTCAGATCCGCGGAGAGTCTCAGGTGCCTGCACAGGTACGCGGATACGTCTTAACGAGCTCACCTCGATGGAGTAGGGCCTGCTCACCTGTAGAGAATAGAGGTAGCCGCAACAGCGGCCAGCAGAAACGCGGCCAATGCCAGGCTCGTGTAAGCCACGAAAGTGTAGGCCTCGGTCCTGGACGTGCAACCTGGGTCGTTTCCCAAGAAACCACATTCTGGGATGTCAGCTGGTGGACCCTCTCTGCCACCAGGCCAGTGTATCTTCTTCCCAGGAACGGGACTGTACTCCCTGTTTAGCCCTAGGTAGTGCGCCACCACCTCGAACCTGACGATTGCGTTCTTATAAAATTCCTCGCGCGGAAAGAAATCGAAAAGTCCTTTACCATTTTGCAATCGGAGCTTCCGTTCGCAAGATACGAGCAAACGAATGTTTGGTCGCGTTGTTCCCGTCGTGCGCCATTTTTGAATGCCTCGAAACTTTAAGTACTCGTAGATCGATAACGAAGGCTTCGATTGCGAAACGGGAAAGGACTTTTCGGTTTGTTTTCGAACGAGGAACGTGCACGTTTCGGCACGACTGGTATTTTCGAAACGGTCTGCGTTTATATTTGGCCTCGTCAGAGACGGTCGAAATCGTCAATAGATGAATACTGATCACGCGTGGCTCGAATCAAGCGTCATTCAGACCGAAGACGGAAATCCACGAGGATGCCGCAAACCTAACTGAATTTCGCGTCGCCGCTTAGAATGGGGGCTTGATTAGCAATGCAAACAGTCGAAGGAATGGTCGGCTTAATTGACGCTGACCTTCCAGTGATGGGGTCCAGATCCAGGATACTGTAGTCGGCGTCACGGTCTCCATTGTCGTCTATCCTAACGTGTCCCGTAATACCAATGAAGTCTCGGTCCCACATCCGTCTTGTTATCGATATGCCGTCTCTGATGTCGCCGCCCTCGGATAAAGTTTCGTTTAACGCTATACCGAGCAGATAAACGCCGTCATAGAAAGCTCCGATGAAAAAGTTCACCTAAAATGACGGAGCATGATAGACATGATAAACGTAACGTGATAAACAACTGAAAAGAATGTATTCAAGTTCAAGGGAAAATCGATTCTTCGTTTAGAATTGCCGACAGGAATTCGCACGTTGGATCTATTTTCATTTTTATCACCTCTTCTCCGTCCGAGAACGAATAGTTGTAACCATTTTGGGCACGTTGTCGGACGGACTCCGCGAAATCTTGAAATCTGGGGCTGGTGGGTTGCAGAAGGGACACCCTCAGCAGAGCTTCATAAGCCTTTCTAGCCACGGCGTCGTCCTCGTCGCCTACCTCCCAATCGTGGTCGCCCCAGTAAGAACCCTGATTTACATTCGAAATGTTTTTATTTTTGGTCAGGATCAAGATGAGAACGGTCCCCAGAGTTTGAAAAATCTTCGTTTCCTTCACCTGGAATATTTCGACGTCGAGGAACGCCCAATCCCCTCTCGTCATTCCTAAATCGTGTGCTGCCAACATGAATTTCCTGACCAATGTCCCGCGAACGCTAAGGATCAATACTGTCGGCAATTGAATTTTATTATAAAATGACTCGATTAGTCGTATTAGTGGTATACATATCTCTTTTTATTTTTGAAACGCCACCCCTTTATATATGCAACCCCCCAGACGACCTGTAACTCTGGTTGCCACCTACCAGGGGCACCTTCCCGCCCCTAATAGGCGGCAACCAGCGCTACAAACCGACAGGTGCGGTTGTCTACTCACAGGGGCGGCGTTCGAACTCAAAGATAATAAAATTCAAATTTAAAGCAAAGCTTTATCGCTCACCTCTAGCGTACATACTGGCGTCGCGCAAGTAGAAATGGTACGGTTCGTCCTCGGCGTTCCCATCGAGTTCCCTCACGAATTTCAGTAGTCCGTCTTTCCGCAAACCGTACTCCAAATTCTTACCTACCGTCCACGAGAACAGGTCCGACCTGTCCAGTATCAGAGCCACGTGCGACCAACCGAACTCTTTGAAAACGCTGGAGAAGACCAGTCGCAGACGGCACTGGCAATAGGACATTCTCGTTAGCGTCGGGTACTTGCTTTTGTCCTTGAAAATGCCCTTTAACAAACGACGGTAAACACACTTGAGAACGCGGCGCTCGATCATCGGGGAGAATGAAAATGAAAACGGAGCGTCGAGTAGCACTTTTGCGGAGTTTCATTTTATCGCGACCGTCTTAACAAGGCCACGGCTAATTAAGAATACTAATGGGGCCATAAATACAGGGAAAGGACGAGGTTCTCGTGTTCTCCTATGCGAGTAATGCGTATGCACCGGCTGAGTTCAATAATTACGTCGATTAATCTAAGGGAGAAAGAATGGAAAATTGTCTCTCACCGAACTTTCGTTCTTCCATTTATTGATCCTCCCGAGGATACCTGAAGTCACGGACAGTTCGCCTTCCGAGGGTGGCTGAATCGTTTGAGAAAATTTTGTATTAATTTGTCACGGTACAAAGAGATAGGCGCGTGTCGAGCACGCGAACTATGGAAGGCGCCAATAGTTTGTATGCTCGCCGTGCGCAGAGTGACGCTCGGCTGTCCTTGAGACGTACTTGATCACCCATTCCTGTAATTATAGGCGTGTTCCAATACGCGGCAAGCCTCGCTACGGGTTCCAGAGCGAAGGCGCAAGCTGGACCGACGAACGCAATCACGTTGTCTCGGAAGTGCATGTCAGCCGCCAAACCTGGTGCCGTCGCCCCACTGCACGATGGGTAACTTTAAACACGGATGAGAACAAATCTATTGGTGATACCAATATTGTCTGTTGGTATATATATTATTAGTAATATTTTCTTTTTCAAACGGCATCCTTTTAGATGCAACCCGCTAGACGACCTGTAACTCTGGTTGCCATGTATCAGGGGCACTTTTTCTGCGCCTACTACGTGGCAACCAGCGCTACAAACTTATTGGGCTACATACTCGTAAAAACATTCCAAGAAAATATCGATATACAGTAGGTCTCCCTTGCTGGTTGGCAAATGAAATTTTATTAGGAAATTATCCGATAGTATTAGTAATATTTTTTGTTTGCAACATTACCACGGACCAACATTTCTAACGAAACATTTATTTAGAAACATTAAATCTCTCATTTAATTCAGACAAATTTCTTTAATAGCGGTTACGAATACTGGCTGTATAAGAAAAAATACGAACATAAAAAGAATAATTGCATAGGTAGGAATGGAAGAGGGTATAATAGAGGGTAATATAAAGTAGGTGTCCCCTTGCTTGTTGGTAAATGAATTTTTATTAGGAAATTATCCGATAGTATTAGTAATATTTTTGGTTTGCAACGGCATCCTTTTAGATGCAACCCGCCAGACGACCTGTAACTCTGGTTGCCATGTATCAGGGGCACCTTTTCTGCGCCTACTACCCGGCAACCGGCGCTACGGACCAATATTTCTAACGAAACATTTATTTAGAAACATTAAATCTTTTATTTAATTCGGACAAATTTCTTTAGTAGAGGTTACGAATATTAGTTGTATAAGAAAAAATACGATCATAAGAAGAATAATTGGATAGATAGGAATGGAAGCGGCTATAAATAACCAACGAAACATTAATGGTTGATGTACCGAATGGTGTAGCGGAAGGTCAACTTTAATTTCACCTCTCGGCTAATATTTGCTGCAAACGTCCACTGCCTCGTCCACGAGCGCAATCTTTTACGATTACGCGTCCCACATGATCGGAGCAGTAGGCGCGATCAATTCGTTTTCGGCAAGGTGATTCTGTTATCGAAGGTGGAACAAGAAAGTGGCTCCAGACGATGGTTATCGGGACGAAACAATATCACGGCAGGAACAAAGGTAAACGGTTTGATGGATGATCACGTTCCCGGAGCGCAAACATCGTTCCATCGAATTACTGTAACGCGAAAGCCTCGACACGATGAAACATTTACGTCGAGAATATTAGCGATATACCGACCAAAAATCGATTAGCAGAAACATGCTTCGTATCTAAACATTTTAGATAGGTAGGTAAAGGATAGTTATGGCAACGCGGTCTAAGCGGTGGCTTTGGACTGTGGAGGCCCGAGTTCGAATCCTGGCAGACACATTTCTCACTCGTGTGATTTTTTATGTTACCAGGACTTTTCTATCGAGCATGCGGCAGGAATACTGTGGCGCGAGGAAGTACACACTAACATTTCTGGCGTGCAAGGTTTCTCCACGCAAAAAAGAATCCCAGTGTGGTGGGCGCCCTAAATCCAAAGAAATTCCGCGGATGACCATCGTCTCGAATAATCGCGTGTCCCCAGCGTGTCGAGTGATCGATAATTGCTGGTGGCAGAAATGTACTGTCACATTCCGAGTAGCAATTTGGGATAATGATAGATTAATCGTGGCGTTGAATGGGCAATGATTGGATACCGAGCGATTCGCGGGAAAGCATATGAGTGTTGGACGATTTTCGCCCTTTCTTCCCTTCGTTAACGAATCGTGATGTATACGCTCCTGCTGCCCGATCGAATGTTCTCCGATTAAAGCCGCTGGTTCCCGACGCTTCGTTCGTCTTGCTCGCGAAAATTCGGACGATTGCATTTAACTGCGCGTAGTCGACGAATAACGCGCTCGGTATCGAAGGCTCGTTCCTTTTTTATGCAAATGCACGCCCAATTGAATTAACGTAACGGCATGGAAGCGACGTAAACGCGCGGTCAGAAGCGGATCGTGCGCGTATATAGGACCCGCCAGACGACCTGTAACTCTGGTTGCCATGTATCAGGGGCACCTTTCCCGCGCCTACTAGGTGGCAACCAGCGCT